AACCAATTCTTCCACAGTAATCCTAGTTGTGACTATTGGGCAGCATTTCATTTCAGTGACTACAAAAGTTGGTTGTTAACTTTCTCGCAAGCCCAATCGTGTAAACTTGCTGATGTTACAATACAGCAGAAATAAGTGATTAGATGACAAATATCTAGATAAGCCTTATGTCGTTATAATTTTGTGTCTATTCCAATAAATGATAACAGCTGACATGGCAAAACCTACAGGCTGTGGACACCCTGCATCTGTAAAAAAGCAATAAGAGAGCACAGCCATCGATACAAAAATGAATAAACAACAAACAAATTGAATCACACAGGGTTTTTTTGAGCTTGCCAAATCGTTTAGTAATGTGTTTTCGGGAGTGTGAGCGCAAAAAATTAGGAGGAATTTGCTTGTGATGTGGGTGCGAAAAGCCAGTCATCGGACGCCATCTGTCAGCGCCGAGGTGAGGGGAGAGAAAGCGGGGAGCGCGGCAGGGGCGTCCTTGGACAAAGCATCGGTTAGTGAGAGATGGATAGGGAAAAAGAGAGACACACAGAGAGAAAGAGCCAGAGGCAGAGAGAGAGAAAGAGAGAAAGAAAGAGAGAGACCCACACATTGAGAGAGAGAAAGAGAGAGAAATAGAGAGAGAAAGAAAGAGATCCACACAGAGAGAGAGGGAGAAAGAGAGAGTTAGAGAGAGAGAGATAGAGATAGAGAGATAGAGATAGAAAGAGAGAGATAGAGACCTACACACTGAGAGAGAGAGAGAGAGAGACTCACACAGAGAGAGAGAGAGAGAGAGAGAGAAAGAAAGAAAGAAAGATAGGGAGGGACCCACACAGTGAGAGAGAGATAGAGAGAGAAAGAGAAAGAAAGAGAGAGAGATCCACACAATGAGAGAGAGAGAGCGAAAGAAAGAGAAAGAGAGAGAGAGAGAGACCCACACACTGAGAGAGAGAGATAGAGAGAGAGAGAGAGAGAACCACACAGTGAGAGAAAGAAATAGAGAGAGAAAGAAAGATAGGGAGGGACCCACACCGTGAGAGAGAGAGATAGAGAGAGAGAAAGAGAAAGAAAAGAGAGAGAGAGAGATCCACACACTGAGAGAGAGAGAGGAAGAGAAAGCCAGATAAGGAGGGACTCACACACTGAGAGAGAGAGATAGAGAAGGAGAGAGAAAGAAAGAGAGAAACCCACACATTGAGAGAGAGAGAGAGAGAGAGAGAGAGAGAGAGAGAGAGAGAGAGAGAGAGAGAGAGAGAGAGAGAGAGAGAGAGAGAGAGAGATAGGGAGGGACCCACCTTGACAGAGAGACAGATAGACAGAGAGAAAGGTAGAGAGATCCACACAGATAGAGAGAGAAAGAAATATAGAGATGTACCCACACCGAGACATAGATGAATATAGAGACAGAAAGAGAGAGAGGGACCTACACTGACAGAGAGATACAAGGAAACAGAGAAATAGACCCAGGGAGAGAGAGACATAGACAAATAAATAGAGAAGCAGAACAAAGAGAGAGAGAGAGGGAGACACATGTACACACATAGGAAGAGAAAGGATGAGAGACAGAGAGAGGGAGAAGGAGGGTGTTTGGAGTGACCGACAGGAGACAACAGGAGCAGACAGGCCATTAGTTATCTCCACTGGCACTTAAGAAACAAGCAGGTCCCAATGAACACTGACTGAAAAGTGTGAGGAATCAGGGATAATAGAGCCAAAAGCAAAGACTTTGACGGTTCCATTAGTTTCAGTTACAGAGCAAAAATGATCACCACCGCAGTAATAAGAGTCTATAATTGCACAAAGGATAGACTGAGATACACTGTGTATATGGATAGTTCAAAATATGCAAGTGCTCTGGGAGACTGGGTTATTTTCAACTCAAAAATCCATCTATCTATTAATTTTCTTCCACTTAAAAAAAATTAATAAAAATAAACCTTTATTACATTTTGGCTATCAGATATAAAAGAGCACAAGGACGCACAGTTTGCTCGTGTCCCAGATGAAGGTCTCATTGGCTGAAATGTGTTAGCGTTTGGTGTTTATTTTTACATTTGATAGCCAAGATAAAAAGGAGCTTTTTCATGTTTTTCTAAATTGGTAGAGTACCTTTTTTCTGTATCAGAAACCACATGTACACAGGTTGGAGCAAGGATCAAACAGCCAATATTCGGGTCACTGCTGTCCAAATACATATCTCAAACACTAAAATCTGAGGCTACGTTTATATGATGATGGTCTGAACAGAAGACGCAAAAGTGGCATCACGTCTTCACTTTTATTTCGAGTTTACACAAGCGTTTTCTGGGGGAAATCTCCGTGCATACGGTGACGCAAAAGTGTGTGGAATTCGATTGGGTATGCATGCCAGGCAGCTTGGTGGTGACGCTAGGTGGTGATGTATGTGATGTAAACGTGCACGCGATGTGAGCAGATCTGACTAAAGTTTTGTGTCTTGGACAGTGTAGATGGAAACACGGCAGGGAGTATTCAACTTTTCCACTCTGGAGGGTGGTTTCAGATTTTTGCGTTTTTAAGCCCCAAAAACGGCATCACCATCTAAACGAAAGGCACTTCCAATAAAATATTTTGCTGTTTTTACCCGCAAGCATTCTCGTGTAAACAGGCCCTGAGTCAGCGTCTGTATTGTTACTTTGCAGGTGAAGTCATCAACATTCCTAGGGGGTGCGATGCTAACTGTAGGATCTTCTCTGTCTGAGGCTTTATTCGACTTTAATCTGAGCTTTATTTTAACACAATCTGACCACAAAGAGCTGGAACTACAACAGGGGAGCTGATTTGTGCTGTTAGACAATTCTTTTGCATGTAAAATTATAGTCACAAACAAGCTAACTTTTTTGTTGAAAGTCAAACACCTAAACAGAACCATGAACACTCATATTGACCACAGATTCCAGAAAATGTGTTTTTCCTTGAGTTTTCAGACTATTTTAAAACTTTGACAGTGTTTGCTAATGTGTGCATTGTGTCACCGTGGTAATGCCTAGGGATGTATCAATAAACAAAATATTGTGATATCATATTGTCAAAGTTTTCACAATAATCGTGGATCACAATATATCGAATTACAAGTCTCTTTGCTGAAATTAAGACAGAGGGAACTACATAGACCATAATCCTTTGCTCCATTTCACTGTAGACTACAAGAACAAATAACAGTTCTAAGTACTTTTTAAGTCTTAGTTCTTTGGATTAATTCTTGTCAAGGCATTTTAAGAGGAAAAAGTAGCATATTCAGAGTTTTGTTGCCTCCACAAAATATCGCAATAATTATCGTACTGTGAGATGTATATCGTGAAAATATCAGACCGAGAGTTTTGGATATCGTTACATCCCATCCTGAGCCTCCCCACCATATCGTGAGCTTTCGCACAATACTGCAATAAATATCGTACCGCGAGGTTCGTACTGCAATGATATCGTATCGTGAGACTTGGATATTGTTACACCCCTAGTAATTCCTAAACATTCCACCATTAGAGATACATGTAGAACGCCTCCATCGTGATGTCAGTGCAGTATCAATTAAGGAGTACCTAGTTTCCTATATATATATTTCCGGACATGTTGCCCATTAATTGCAGCACAATAATGAAAAGTTAAATTACAATGCAAGTCTTGTATCTTCCCCAACAACAGTGGACCAGTAGTAAGCTAGATACAACCAAAACATTTGCCAATTAGTTAATGCATACAAACATATGCTGGCAGTTACCTTTGCAGTAACTTAGCAACAAAATTATCAGGTAACAAAAATGGTGGATGACATATGTTGAGAAATTGTTGTAAATAAAGCCGGAAGCAAAGACTGTTAGACTTTGATCGTTCAATTAGGTAAAACCCTTGAAGAGGTGCTGGAGCGGCTTATGTTCAGTGCTGATTATAATGTAACGCTTGGCTACAATCAATAGGCACAAACAGATGGTAAAGTGTTGTGGCATTAAATAGTTAGTAGTATGTGGCGCATGTATCCAGGCACAGCAGATGGAACACGCCACACACATTTTATCTCAGCAAGAAAACTGCAATATTTGGCATGAAAATACCTGTCATTTTAAAGCCTAAATGAAACACAACTGGAAAAAGCGTCAACAGAAGCATACTGGTGAGAAATTATTGTTGAAAATACTGGTGAATTATGACAATAATTTGCTTCTACGTTCAATTTGGAAATGCTTTTGTTGAGTTGAAATGCACAAAAATGGGCTGTCATAGAAAGAACTCTGGCAATAGGGGCAGCTATGATTTGTTACATGCATAATAGTGCTAGAAAAAAGCTTGCATATTAAATTAACTGGTGTAATTATTAAAAGATAACAAATGTCAGCTGAAATTGTTATGGGCTTTTGTGTTGAGTGTACTGTATGTACAAATGATTAAATATTTTGCGATACAAATTACGCCAATACAACGCATCCATATAGCTGATGATATTTTTGTTTAATTGTTGCTGTTGCCGAAATTTAATCAGTTAAGTATCTATCTACCCATCCATCTTAAAAGAGAAGAACTAAAATAAAGGTGATGCACTACCTCCAGAAAGTTATACTCTGTTACTTTAAATGTATGCATGTACTTTATGTTTATAGCTAATTACTAGTAAGCTACCAATGCATATACTGCTTGGAATGTTTCTCAATAAATAAGTCAGTTTCTGTATTTTGGCTTATACTAAATGTAAATATGGAGCTGGTATGTATTCAACAATATGTTCACTTTGAACTTGCTGCCAACAGTTTTCATGAAAACACATATTGCTTTGGTCTAAAAATGGGGTATATAGTATTTGAATGGGATTAGCATCTAGCAGTGTATAGTATAGGGCTTAGAGAAGTTCTGCCAGTTCCCTCTACACGGCTGTGACTTTGCACAATGACTCAGATATTTATAGATCTCTCCCACTCCACTGCAGATGTAGATCCCAATAATCGCTGTTAATAATCCCCATAATAACCCTGTGTGTTCAGAAGCAGGGGACGTCCTACCTTTGCTGATGTCCTGGTACTCGAGCCACAGCTGTCTCTGGACCTGTTTGTTGGGGTACCAGATGGTGCAGGACTCCTGGAAGCCGTACACTGCCTCCTGCACGTAGTGATTCCCGAACTCCCTCAGGATGGACACGTAGTCACTGCGCTGTGTTGCCCCGTCCAGAGAATGGATGGCGGAGCTGAAGGCTACAGGGAGGAAAATATGCGTTTAGTTAGCATTTTCCATCGCTCTTAAAAGCATTATGTTTCTGTAATACACACTGCATTATTGGGCTTAGAGTGGTGCAGGGAGTGGAGAAAAATACTATACAAAGAACTACAAACACCCACACTAAGAAAGTAATTATGTCTATTAGGCACAATCCTAATTTATTTTGCATGGTAAATGGAAGCTGTATTCAGTCACCACTAAATATATGTTTCTTACTTACAGGTAATTTGTGCAGTGCTTTTTTGCTCATCTATCTTAAGATAATTCTTGTTGGGAATTGCAGGTGTACAGAGTCCATCCTTCCAACTGTGGGCATTACTTACTAGTTAAAAAATGTGTAGAAAGATTTATTTAAAATTTATGTTTGCGAGTTGGAGTTAAAGGAAACTGTAGCCTACTCCAGTAAATAAGGCTATGTTCATACTGCAGGGTTCAATGCTCAATTCGGATATTTTTGTGAAATACGATTCTTTTGTGAGGTTGTTCATATTTCCAATTAAATGCGACTTGTATAAGATCTCCAGTGTGAACTTTAAACGCCCCAAAAGTGTCCCACATGAGCAATGGAGGACACGACGACGTCACAAACAGTGAGCATGTTCAGTGTTTAAGGAAGTTGCCTAAACATTGACGCGAACATTGAGCACCTGGAGATTTTAAAGTTGCTGTCGTACCAGAGCCAGAACATGTACAGCTTATTTGTTTTAAGGAGGAGACTGAGAAGGAGAAGGACAAGGTTTTTGGCCATGGCATTTTGTGGGGTAGTGGCAGCAATGTCTGTAGAAAGGAATGTGTGGGTGGGGAGTTGCAGCTCAGAGTGGTGGGATTGTTATGTGCTTCACTGCTTCACTCAAACGGAGTTCATACACAATTTTCATATGACGAGAAGAACATTTGTGTTCATTTGTGACGAGTAGGTGGATGAACGTGACCTGGCCATTCAGACTGAAGTCGCATGTCCAAAGATCGAAAATGTACCGCTTTTAGGAGCACATCTCCAAGTGGCCTGGGTCACACTTGAAAAAAATTGGATCTGTGTCGGTCAGACTGTCATTAATAGATCAGATACAGGTCTGCATAGGGGTGAAAAAATTGGTTTTAGGTCACTTCAGGCTGCAGTCTGAACGTAGCCTAACTTGTTCGGTTCCAGTATATTTCAGTGTATTGCCCAAAACAGACTGTATGGTCACCAATCCATCCAGTGACAAGAAAGAAAATATCTAATGTATTTGTGTTCTCCTAGAGTGCACCATGTAACTTTTTTGTGGAGGGTCCACCAACTGATTGTCTCCTTGGAGCATTGCCTGTAATTTTCCACAATGAAGCATTAAAATCATCTGTCTCCATGAAGATTAGAAAAAAAATTAACTAGGCCGAGATAAAGGTCAGATCTATGGAGAGGCATCTCTGTTTTTCATGGTATTTTTAAGCAATAAAACAATGGAATAAATGCTAAACATGACAGTTTAATACCATACTGTGGAACATTCCAGACAAAACAATCACTTCCCCATGGAGACAAGCGGAGGACCCTCTACCAGAGAAGTTACACAGTTAATCTTTAAAGTAATTTTTTAGGCTTCATGGAACACATTTAAAAAGTAAACAAACAACAAAGTAACATATCACATTTACACAGTACATTTTTAAAAAGTAAAATCAAATACTCAAGAGTTTTCAGGAGACCCTGTTGTCTTAATCGCAAAGTTCTGTGGTATGCTGAGTGAGTATTGGTGCTTCATTTGCAGTGCGCTGTGTTGACTCTGCAGACCATTAGATTAAAGCTTGTGATCAATGTCTAATATTGTTGGGGCTTAAGAGTGTCGTTTGGTGTTATAGACCCGCACTAATCCATTCTAATCCGGGTTTAACTCACTTTTCATTGAACAAAGGTATTTCAATAAACTGCAAGCATCTTAGCTGGGCGTCACTGTCTTTATGAGCTTCAGTGGACTTCAGAAAAACACTTGAGTATTCGTACAGCACGTCAGCATAAACATTCTGATGTTATAAAGTGTCTATAAATTGCATGTTTACTAGTACAGGCCTACATGAAAGAAAGTCTGTGTTAGTGGATTCAGTAAGGGCACAAAGATTATTAAAAAGATTTGGGCTTTAGAGCAGAAATAATCAGTTCTGTTTACAGAATGGGCTGTCATCAGACGAGAGCAACTTTCTTCAAATTAAAATTTCAAAAAAAAAAAGAAGCTTGCTCTATTTGGGATTTTCAGAAAGCGTGTTTATTAGCACAGGCAGATGCATGATTTATTTATTAACATGGGGGCAGTAGTTTCATTTTGAGTTAAATATACAAAATGAGAAGCATACCATCACAGAGCAAACACACTATTCATAATTAAGATTTTACTCACTATATGTGCACTTGCATTTAGAGTAACATACAACTCCCAATACACTTGTACCTTCAGCATTTTAGCTGAAGTGGGCTACATTTATCTATTATTATCTAAAATTAATTAGTTTGAATGAGAAAAATACAATATGGTTAAAGTAAACATTCATTATTATTAGAAATACATACTTATTTATCAGGACTGCACTCAAAATGTCACTGTAATAATACAACATGATGTTTGTAAAATCCCTTTGTCGTACAGGTAGAATCCATGGCAAAGCTGAAATTCAATTCAACTGTCAACTGTACAAAAGTTTTTTTGATTGAATGTTTCACAGCTTGGATGAGTTGCGAAGTGTATTCGTAAAAACCTTTTGTCCAGTTGACAATGTGAATTTATTCTTTGCAATTTAACATGATGGACTTCTTGGCAATAGGTGTACGGAGTTTGTATTGTGAAGCTTGATGTTAATTTATCATAACTTAAAGGTGCACTATGTAACTTTCTGGTGACAGGGCCGTCAAATGCTTTTTTCTACAGACATGTTATTGTTTTGTCTGGAATGTTTCACAGTTTGGAGACCAAACCAGACCAAGTTACAGGGCAGATCTATGGAGAGGCAACCAGCTCACAGCTAGAATGCCTCTTTTTTGGGGTATTTTTGAGCTTTGAGTAATTGAATAAATGTATGGTGGAGCTGATTAATGTCCTACTGTGGAATATTCCAGGCAGAGCAATGACATAACCATAGAAACAGGCAGTTAGCGGACCCTCCACCAGAAAAGTTACACAATGCACCTTTAAATATCTGCTGATGTCGTGACGTAAAATTACAACAGAATTTTTTATTCAACGTAAGGAAGAAAACAATTTAGTAAATTATTTATTTATTATATTGTGGGGTGCCTCAGGGGTCAATCCTGGGCCCCCTGTTGTTCAATCTCTACATGCTGCCATTAGGCCAGTTTAAGCAGCAATAACGTGTCGTACCACAATTATGCAGATGACACTCAGATCTACGTCTCTCTGGCAGCAGGAGACTATGGACCATGGAGCACTTGGTCACTGCATCCAACAGATCAGTGTGTGGATGCAAAACAACTTTCTCCAGCTAAACTTGACAAGATGAAGTCATAGTGTTTTCCACAGAAACAAAGGGACAGTGTCAGCAGTCACCTCCAGTCTCTCTCTCTAAAACCTTCAAATCAGGCAAGAAATCTAGTAATAATGGACTCAGACTTGAACTTTAACAGCCACATAAAATCAATAACATCTGCAGCCTTTTACCATCTAAAAACATAGCAAAAATCAAAGGTTTACTGTCTAAATCAGACAGAACTATCCAGCACAGTAGGTTAGACTATGTAAATAAGCTGTGACATGCAGAACATCCAGAACGCTGCAGCTCGGGTCCTTACTCGAACTAGGAAGTACGAGCACATAAGTCTGTGCCAGGTCTCCACTGGCTTCTGCAGAGAAAGTTAAAATGCTTGTGTACAATCCATGCACCAAAGTACACTGTGACATTTAGTGTCAATATGAACCAAAACAAGTTAAACGTAGTTTCAAATTATTGAACAGAATTTTTTATTCAACGTAAGGAAGAAAACAATTTAGTAAATTATTTATTTATTAGTACCAAACATGTTATGTACCAAACAGAACATGTACTTCCTGAAAATAGTATTAATTTGATTCACACATATATCAATATCTAACGCTAAACATGACTATCTATACTATCTATACTGTGCAGTGTTCATATGATCCTCTTCAAGGCTTTGGAATCCATTTGTATTCGCTTATAGCAATACAATACATGAACAAACTGCTTACTATAGCACAGTACTAATGCACCTTTTTCAAGATGGCAGCAGTCATAGTAGCAGCGACACTTTTTATTGAACATAAGCACCGATAAGAGCTCCTTGTGTTCTATTTTCCATGCAGTTGTGTAATAAGATCGCACCTATATCTCCATAAGAAAAGCTACGTTTGATGGGTTACATTGACCGTGCGCTTGCCATGATCTGCTCCACAAACACTGAAAAGCAAAAGTGCAATAGCAGTTTATCATTATCGTTTCGAGGAGTTGTGATATTAATATCTCAGCCCTCACGCCCGGATCGCTCTCACTCTCTTTCTCTAAAATTAAATTAGGAAGCCAGCGATGTGCGAGACAGGGCGGATGAGCGATGGTGGCTGGGTTATCAGATGTAAAAATCACTACACTAGCCTCACCCCTCGACTGGCTGGCTACGGAAATATGATGCTCTAAAGTGGGAAGAAGAGGAGACAAAAACAGGAAGAAAATATCTAGAAAGTGTTCTCTCAGCAAATATAGACACTTTCGAACCATGCCAGCGTCATCAGGAATGCATTAGAAGTGTCATGGCCGTATTTACAGAAGAGAGGCACTTACCAGAACAGGAAACATTTATGTTTGACTTTAGGAATGAGACATTTTCTGGCTTCATAATAGAAACAACATCTCATCAGGGCAGCGAAAGAGGATTTCATTTGAATGAGAACTACCACAAGAAATACCAAAGCTGTGATACTTGATGTGTTCTTCTTTATTTTTATTATTTTATTGGAAAAGCACTTTGTGTGTAAACTCGGTGTGACTACTGCATACTGCTTGCATCTAATTGTTAAAAATAATTTGATCGCAAACTCATAATACAGCCTGATGTGTTACTAAAATACATTTGGGGATGAGAGTGTGTTGGCTGTGCGATGGCAGTCTACCCCTGATTAACAGTCTGAAAAGCTGTTCTAAATTTGTGCATGTTCTCAAAAAGTCATGCATGTGATTACAAGCAATATCCCAGACTGGAGATAGATTTAAATACTTCCTGCTTTTAGAGTTTTAAGATCTCTAAAAGTTTGGTATCAACTTCAGAAAATGTTGCTGATGATGAAATGATACTCCAACATTTCTCAATTTGATACCTCCACCAACTACTATATCCATTGCGTTACTTGCCTGTCTCTTCTACATTCTGTAGGAATTCAGAAGGGTCTGAAATTGGACTATAGCGTGTAAAATAAATAAATTAATTAATTAATAAAAAAAAAAATTCTAACTTGAGGTGATCCAAGCACTGTTGCTAATTTGTAGCGTGTCTCTCAAATGTGGAAGACACCTCATGAAAATGATTTTAATCATTCATATTAAAATCCATAACTTCATTTACCTGAGATAAATAAGAGTTTACTGTTTGGATTGTCGATTCTGCAGAAATCCTTGGTGTTTCTTAGGCTACATTTATAAGATGACGGTCTGAACAGAAAAAGCAAAAGTGGTGTCGCGTATTCACTTTTTATTCCGAGTTACACGAGAGTTTTCGGTAGCAAATCTGCATTTATACGGTGACGCAAAAGTGTGTGGAATCCGATTGAGTATACATGCCAGGCGGCTAGGTAGTGACGCTAGGTGGTGATGTATGTGCGGTAAATGTGTACACAACGTGAGCAGGTCTGACCAGAGTTTTGCGTCTTGGGCAGTGTAAACGGAAATGCTACGGCGGAACATATTCAACTTTTCCACTCTGGAGGGTGGTTTTGGATTTTTGCATTTTTAAGCCTCAAAAATGTGGTCACAGTCTAAACGAAAGGCACTTCGGCCCTAAATCCTCTGTTGTCTTTGTCCTTTTTTACTCCTACACTATGCTTCATCTTTGTTTGTCAAAGCGTGTGGTTCTGGCTTGCCTGGTAAGTGTCTTACATCATACAATTCCAGGTCCAATATATAACAGAACATTGTCTATAAAAATATTTTAACATTTTAACATAACCTGGCCCCTCCCTATCTCACTGACCTTGTCTGTCTGCACTGTCCACCACGCCACCTCAGATCAGCCCACACCAACCTCCTCACTCCCCTCATCAGAACAAAGCAACAGACCTTGGGGGATAGAGCCTTCGCTGCTTCCGCCGCAGCCTCCCTCTGGAACTCACTCCCACAATCCATCAGGAACTCGGACTCACTGCAGCACTTCAAATAACTACTAAAAACTCACCTGTTCAATCTGGCATTCCCCCCTTAATTCCCCACGTTTTCTACTGTGTTGCTTTTCTACAGTGTCATTTGTAAAGTGTCTTTGAGTGTTCAAAAAAGCTCTGATGTATTATTATTATTATTATTTTTCATTGTTGTTAAGTTATTATCAATATTTAGTCATACAATACATGTTCAAATAATGGTTAGACCTATAATTCATGTTCAAATAATTCTGATTGCACAGTCTGTTCTTTTTCTGCTGTATATTTTCTTTCCGACTACATCCTCCTCTACAATTTGACACAAAAGCACAAAAGCTACAGAGCATGTTGCCGGTGTAAACTGAAAATGGATAACTTTTTCACCTTGGTCCATCTTAATTTGTTCCTTTTTTGGTTTGGAACTTTCTGAACTTCAAAATAAATAGCTTTAATGGCACTATTGACTGCAGTGAGTGAATGCGCCGCACAACTAAATGGGTTTTTGGAGATGATGAAAGCCCTACTGCACTTGAAGTCTTTAATCAAGGCACATCTTACACTTTTGACACTTTTTCTTATTTTTTATTTTTATTTTTTCAGGAAAGTCTATCAAAAGGCATTTACTTTGCTTTACTTTGTCACATCTAGTACACTAGCACATTATCAGGTTACCCATAAAACCTTCTTTCATGTGTTATCATAATGACTTTCTCCTATACGCCCTTTTTATGTTGTTTTGACATTACCTTGTACAGATGCGATGTCTTTTCTTTCCAGGCGTTCGATTTTGACCCTTTTGACCTGACCTCGTGTTAATTCATGATTAAAGAGAGGTTGACCCTGGGTTCTGTGCAGCCCACCAGACGCTGCACTCTCAGCACTGGAATCAGGCGGTAATTGACTCTTTGAAAAGCTTTAATTTGTGTAATGGCTCCTCCGACTTGAACCTTTTAGCACTGCTGCGCATAGTGGCTAGGATTTAGCATTACATCCTGTGGTGGGAGTCGTTATGTTTTCAATCCCGGCAAAAGCTCTGCAGGGCACACAGAGGGCTGCAAACTCTCTCTTTTTTTTCATTTTTTTTCATTTTTGAATATTTGTATTTTAATGAAACTAATCATATCTTACCTTTACCTAAACTTTAGTGTGAGCAATTAATGGACAAAAGACAAGATTTGTCTAAATCTAAGTTAGAAACATGCTTTGGGATTACACAGTGGCAGAGTGGTTAGTGCAGAGTGTGAATGAATGTGACATAGTTGATAGTACACAGTATATCTATCGATCTATCATTTTGGGCCGATAGACAGCACTATTTTGGGATTGTCAAAGCTGTGTTTTTTTGCAGTGCTCCTAACTGACCCAGGTTTTGTTTCGTCAACTATTTCACACATGTATGCATCATCAACATGCCTCTGTCACAGAAAGAACATCAATATTTCACTGAATCATGTCCTTTAGTCCAGCATCAGTTGCACAAGGAGCTGTTTTTTCCAGCTTAAAGTTTATGCAAATGAGCCATGCGGTTTTAAGTTTTGTTTCTGTAAAATGTAAACAAATGTGCACAAAGCTGCATTAAATATATTATAACCTCAAACGGGTTGATGTGGCTCTATAGTGGTTATGGTTTATATGTTGTAAAGTTGAGTTTATTTATGCAGATTAGTAATAGTAATAATAATGATAATCTTTATATAACGTTAATGATTAATTGACCTGGTGTAGTCCTGATTCAGTTCTGGATTAATCCTGGTTTAGTCCTGGTTAGTCCTGTTTTAGTCCTGGTTCAGTACTGGTTTAGTCCTCCTGATTCAGTCCTGATTCAGTCCTGGTTCAGTCCTGGTTCAGTCTGTATGCAGCGGAAAAGTCCGGCATCTCGATCAATGGTTCTTCTGCTCAATAAATAATGCTTGAGAAATGATAACGGATTTTTGACAGTCGTAGTCACGCTGGGCACCCGCACGTACCCAACCCAATGCAGGACCCTGGTATGATGTAAGATTCTGTAATGTTTGCAAAAAATGAAATTGCAATATCTGCCAAAAGCCAAAAAAATTGCAATACATTTTTTTCTTTAAATTGTTCAGCCCTATATACTAGTATGTACTTGTATGTACAGTATATACTAGTATGTCCCACCTCATATTGGTTGGGGTAATCCACAATTTAGTTTTTAATTTAAAGACTTCACAACATCTAACACTATTAATTGCTTAAAATGTGTTGTGGTGGTTGTGGTGGTTGTGCTGGTGGTGTTGTTGTTGTTGTGGTGGTTGTTGTGGTTGTGATGGTTGTGGTCGTTGTTGTGGTTGTTTGTTTGTGGTTGTTGTGCTATTTATTTATTTAATTTATATATATATATATTTTTTTTTTATAGCAATAAAAATCAGTTTGAACCATATAGCACTTTTTGGACACATTACCATGATATTGTCCAATATGATTAAATGTAGTTTCTGACTTTAAAACAATTCTTTTTTGTAAGCATCTCGTAGCTCTTTTAGCTTTAACAACCTAAACAATGCTCCAGCTGTTCTCATTATCCACTCACCTACGTGTCACAATAGCTGCAGTGTGATAGCTAATTTACGCCACCGTGTGCACTTTTCACAGACTTTGTACTCGTGTCCACACACCAGTCAGTGCTAATGATGTTTATGTAGCAGTGATTTACCTTGAGACAAGACCCACTGATTGAGTTTGACGTGGTACAGCACCGAGCGCAGACTCCACTGTTGGACCAGAGGGTACCCAGACACCTCACTGTAGTTCACCATCCCTGGAACACACAAGGCATGCTGGTTAATGTTTCAGTATAAGGCAACACAGTTTATCGGAAAATTATTGATATTTTAAGAAAAGTAATAAGGCAGAGTATACTGAAGACTGAAATGTATAGCCTTCTTTAAGGTGGATCTGTAAGTCATTTAATTTTGTGTGTGTGTCTTAAAACATTCATATTAACTCACTCTACATGATTCTCGTGTATTTATTTCACCATTTTGTCCATAAATAAATACCTATTCAGGACATAAACTCTACTCCAAATTTGTTCCTATAACTGCTAGCTTTGGTGAGCTTCATTTGACTGGAGTCGAATGTCCCACTCCCTTAGTTCACTTCTTTATACAGTCTATGAAACTGAATTTACTTTATACTGTATGTTGAAATGTTGTAATAATATTCTTATTGCAATAATAAATAATGGAAGACCAACTTCTTCTAGCCATAAAAATTTGCATTGTTCATTTCATCAGTGATGATCAGGTTTGAGTATCCTAGTTTCATCATGGTGAATGTATACGCACTATCCCGGTTTCAGAATCCTGAATAAGGCTGTATTCCGGTTATGAGAAACTGGGATGCTGTAGCTGGTATATTCCGATAGTAACCGGGATACTGTGGCATGTATATGCAGTATCCCAGTTACTGCAACATAAAACTGAGTGCACATGCAGACAAAAGACAAACACTTTTCAGAGTGAAATGACTGCACTAAACCTGCACACATACAATCTGCACTTGTATGACCTGAACATGTATGATCTCTGAAAAGTTAAACATGAGCCATCTCCTATACGATATACCTCATCAGCACCTCCACTGTCACAGAAAAAACACACATATTCCACTGAGCCATGTCCTTTAGTTCAACAGAAGCTGAATCGCATCAGCACACAAGGAAAGAGCAGCTCTAACAGTTTATGCAAATGAGCCATGTGCTTTTAAGTTTAATTTCTATAAAACATAAACGAATGTGGCAAAGCTGAACTATATTATCAAACGGGCTGATTTGGCTTTATAGTGGTTATGGTTTATATGTTGTAAAGTTGAGTTTATATATACAGAAGGTTTTAATTAAGAATCTGTTGCAGTGTAGAACTTGTATAATGTTTGGAGACGTTGGGTTTGATCTGTGCAGTGGATCGTAGCTTCTTACTGCTGGTTAGGACCTTCCCGAGCTGCTTATGCTAAAGGAGCTCATGGTTGTTTATATTTTTCCTGGTTTATTAAATTAAGTACATTTTTGTCAATAAACCGGGATACTACATTTGATCATGTATACAGGGATATCAGTACCCCGGTTTCTCAGTGTGCATGTATAAGCTGTATCATCGGGATATGGCTAAGATACTGATGTGTATGTATACGCACTCAGTAAACATTTTTCATCAGTGTTTTTGTCAATGTCATATTTATGCTGGCTAAAACTAAATACAAATTATATTACAAAAATGCATATATATTTTCGTCAAAATGCTATGTACTTTGCATCAGATCAAAGTCCTAATGTCTCTTTTAGTGTTCACTAGACCTGAATATTTACGGTATGATTACATGAGATGACAGAAAATAGTAGGTTTTAGATCAAAGTATAAACCCATTTGAGGCTCCCAAGAAACATATAAACATAACATCACTTTGAGTTAGCGACAGCAAAAGACAAGTAAAGAGTTCCATAGAAAAAAAGTACATCAATATTAAACATTTGCTGAGATGAACTTTTTTTTAGGAAACTTTGTCATCAGAAAATTCATTTGCAGACATGCATTTGATCAGTTGCAGTGATATTCAGAGCATGTAATGAGTCAGAGCAGAAAGTAGTAAACCAATTACATATGCTATAAATAAATCAGGAATAAAATGTTCCACTTAGAAGGCAGATATGTGTGTGAACTTCAGGCGGAACTGGGGTGAGTTTGAGGGGAACAGGCTTTATGCATTTATGAATGAGGACATGTTTAAATGTTTTACTATATTATTTGCACCACGAGAATGAGCAGACACAGACAAACCCTGAAGGTTTACAAGGCTGTCATGTGATCAAAACTGAGTAGGATTTAGTAAAGGAGATGGTGAGGTGTCTGGTGGTTCTGCTGCTGTGGCATGGCGATGAATTGGGTTCATAGACTGTATAAGGAAGATACCCTCATAGCAGCAATTTCTATCTCAGAGTTTTTCTTCCACATCTTCCCACAATATCACTTCAAAAGGGCTATGACACCTATAACATCTACTGTACAAAACATCATGAATGAATGAAAGTCATACTATAAAATGAAGCTTTAATACCATAATGTCACCTGGAAACACTTATTCCATGTATACGTTCCAGGATAGGTCATCACATATTGATATTTTACATTGAGAGGAGGAATTGTGAACCACTGCTGATATGTAACCACCTCCACAACTGCTTTCACACATATTCACAGCCCGCTCTATCCCCCGTATTGATTTCAGTCTCAATTTCCAGTTCGTTTCTTTGCTTCACGTCAATACCTCCTCACATAGCGACAGCCTTGAAGAAGTCACATGTTTACAAATACTATCCAGTTAGTCACTATCAAAGATTTATTCTCTATTACATCCATTAGCCCGGGTCCTGTCACCTTATCTACAGAGTCAAATCAGCTGAGGGTACATCTTTTTATTATTGTTATTTTTATGTGAATCAGTTGTATAATAACGTTAGCTGAAAATCTTATTATTTTCACAGGGGTTGCAACAGTTCAATTTCCTTTCAAACAGAGTGATTCAATAAGATAGGACACTTTGGCTGTTATTATAGTTGCATATAGATTTCAAGTTTACTGTTAATATAAGGGAAATTACTTGTACTCAGTATTGTGATGTAGAAACTAAGGGTTACATAAACGGTAATCCAATTTGAAATAATTAAAAGTCTTATGTTACGCAAAGTTGACTCTTGTGGGCTTCATGCCATGTGATAATGCTGTTACCTCCTCAAATATATACCTGGAGTTGTGTTTTGTTTCATTCAGACATGTTTGAGTAACAGTTTATAAGCATTCTGTCTACATCTTCAAAGCTCGAAATGCTCTGCTCCAACTTGTGATGTCACACAGTGGTAGTTTTCATGTTAGCAGCTACCTTTTACCTTCATTTCAGAGATAGACATTTCCAGGGCTGATTTTTTTAAGATGATGGATGGGCTGTATTTGAGTATGTTTGTGATGGCAAAACAGCATTTTAACAGATCAAAAATAGTGTAATGTGGGCCCTTTAAAAGCATCAGAAGATTTGTGTCAACTAAGGTACAATTATACACAAGACATGTGGTACAGAAATACAGTACAAAGATGATAATGATAGCTTTGACAAGATGAGATCTATTACATAGGGGTGAGTCGTTGTACAGTTCATGGAGTACATGCCAATGTAATACTGACAACAGAAATAAAAAAAATAAAAAAAGTCCTGGTACCTGAAGTGCCTGATATATTAAACTAAAATCACAGTAGATGATTTGTAGATTTGGTGATTAAATTAAGGTTGTAATATTCAGCTATAATTCGGTCATTCAAAATCATTTGCTGAAATAATTCACCCTTAAATGTGAAATTAGGGTCTTTAACATTACTTACGTTTATAGCGGGGCCATAAGAAAGAGCCATGGGTAATACATCATCCCGTCTCCCATGGCAACTGACAGAGGTGTATCGGAGCAATGCTGGGATTACTGCAATACATCACTGAGGCTGCCCCAGAGCTCACTACACATCCACAAGCAGCAGGACTGGACTGGACCAGAATGGACTAGACCAGGGAAGAAGGACAGGACGGGACTAGACCGAGTAGCTGACCAGAAATATATGCTCAAGCAGGGTTTAAGTGTAACGGGGTAAATTATGCTGATGAATAGAGTGAATAGAGACTGACCAAGACGAATTTGTGATAACTGCTGATATTTGATATATATGGGGTTTTTGTTTGTCTGTGTTGTTTCTTTTAATACTGTACTTGCCACTTGTCATTTCATACCCTTAAATGAACTATAAGAATAATGTGTATGATTGACCATACTTTCTTTTTTCTACTCAAATTTATCAATAAAAATGCATATTGCTAGGGATACTATTTTAAATTGCAAACCGCTGTAATAGAATCCAATGTAAACAGATATTAATACTGCATCACTCTGTGGTGTAGTGTGTCTGTGTAAATAATTTACTGATTGAAGAATAATGAGTTCTGAAATAGGAGTTTCTATTATAGCGTATAATGATATTAGATGTCGATATTAGAAGTTACAAAAGCTGAACTGAGGAATAGCTTTTGTGCCTGATTTGACTGCAATTCTCTTTCTAATACAAGTATATATTTCAATCAATATTTTGGCTTCAGCGTTCTCATAGCAGGTCAACAGTTTGCTATTTTAACACGACATTTTACATGAATAATGGTTTCTATTCCATGTGCTGGAATGGGTTTGCAAAGTAATATCAATCAAGAAACTACAGATTATATTAAAATCCTAAAATAACATGCATTCAAAAAGATTATTATTATTCTTTTTTTATTATTATTATTATTTTTTTTTTCAGTTTAAAACAGGGGTGTCAAACTCAAATTCACAAAGGGCCAAAATTAAAAACTGGGACCAAGTCGTGGGTCAAACTAAATATAATCTGCATGCTTTCTCTTCTTTCGAGATATGTAATGCTAAAAATGTTCTCATTAAAATAAATGTTTAATAATAGTTTTGCTTAAACATTGAATCTAGAACAAGCATAATATAAAATAATAATAAAAAAAAAGTTAATAAATAGCCTATCTGTAGCCAGTGGGCCAGCTCTAATACATATTTGATATGATCTTGCAAACTATATCTCTGGCCAAATTTAGCCCCCGGGTCGGAGTTTGACATGTCTGATTTAAAAAAAAAAAAAAATAATATATATATATATATATATATATATATATATATATTTTTTTATTTTTTTTTATGATACAGTTACAGTAATACTATGAAAC